ATTCCCCGTCTTTCCCTTACCCCCCTACACCTCGCCACTCGACGTCGCCCTCTATCCGCTGCAACACCAGCACGCCTCAATTTACGCAAATATCAAGATCGATGATCGTTCCACCTCGGCTTTACACTTCGGCGGGACCTTGACTGCCCCAGCCATCGCTCGCTCCCCCTGGAAAATCGGGCCTCATCATTGATTTCGAGATTCTCGATAAATTTCAATATATTGCCACCGCGCATATTAACCCTAAGAGCCCCTACATTATCTCCTTATTAAATGTTAATTTAAAAGTACGTGACTGGATTGCCCATCCGCGCTCCCGTACTCGCACACCTCCGTAGGTAGAATTTATTATATCGATGACTGGGCGGCAATCGAGCTGACTTCTTTTTTATTTGCGCACGTTTTTTATGGACGATTCTAGTGGAACAGTACGCGTATTGTAAATTTTGCTGAACAATGCGAGATCTTAAACTCCAAGTTTATTTTGCGTTTCATTAAAATATGTATACGTATCTCAGTGGATAAGAAGACTTGGAACAAGAATAAATACAAACGAAAGCATGCTCCCACGTCTGTCCACGGGAGGACTCTCTCTCTCTCTCTCTCTCTCTCTCTCTCTCTCTCTCTCTCTCTCGTGTCTGAAAAGCATTTTCCGTTTGTCAACGACTCCTGTCGCAATATTCTTACAGAATAAAAATCTCGGCAAAAATTATCTCCAACCCCAAGCAACATTGTGTATTTACAAAAATATTTATAAAACTATTTTTTAAGGTGGCCTACGCCGCTTTAATTGCAGGATATTTGCTTTGAGTAGAGGCCGTAAGATTTTTTCATCCATACATAAAGCACATCGCTAAGGAAGAATCTTTTTTATTTTATTATTGAAGAAAAATGATTGTTTAAATTTCTCGCCATAATTACCCCCTTTTTAACGTATGAAAGGAACATTACAATTTGTTGAAAAAATCTGTCAATGAGAGTAATTTTGTACGCAGCACTGATCTTATTACTATAATTATGTATTGAATTCGAGGTAGCCTTAAAAATTGGGAATACAAAGGAGCAGGTTAAATAGCAGTCAATTTCTGCCTACGGCTTACACGTTAAAAACTTATGCTTTTTTTCTTTCTTTCTCTCTTTCTTCCCTTTTTTTCGTCTTCTTTTTTTTCTCCCTTTTTTCCTTTTGCTTTTTTTATATATAAGTTTTGACATGCTCAATTCTCTTGTAGTATTTACATGCGAAAAATATAATTTGAAAATTCAAATTGAGTGGGGAGTATCGATAAAAAAAAGGAAAACAATAGAGAAATTGCGCGTTTAAAGTATAAGCATCTTTAGGACGAGCGTAAAGAACCTTCGCGTCGTTATTAATTTATATTTAAATAAATTATTTTTTGTACTCGATGCGCGATCGCTATGTATTTGCATGAAACTTTCAATTTGGCATAATCTGATTAAGTGTACAGCCGATATTTAAATCAAATGCTTTTAAGTAAGAAAGTAAGCGACATGATAATTCTCGAATAATAATAATTCGTTATCCTTATAATTTCCTGTAACGGAAATGCCTTCCAAAATATTATTTCAAATGGCGTTCGATATTATCATTATCATTATCATTATTCTTATTATTATTATTATTATTATTATTATTATTATTATTATTATTATTATTATTATTATTATTATTATTAAACGGTAACAATTATAATCAAGAATTCATCGTTACGAGTGCAATATCCGTGTGAGAATTGAGAATTTTGTTGTCGGGCTGCAGCGTACATTGACAGCGAATGACAATAAAAGAAAGATGAAAGAAAAAAATTAAGAAATGGTAATCTTTTAAGATCGCAATTTAAAACACATAAAGGTTATGACACGTATGCAGGTCTTTCTTGTATGGAAAGCGATAGTTTTTGCAGTAGTCGTTTATCGTCGAGTTTCAATCTCAGAAGCGAGAATCATCGCTCTACTAAGCTTTTATTTATGTTGGTAATATCAGGTGGCGCCTCTTAACGACCAAAATTTACACGCATAGTTGCCAGGCCTAAAATTACCTGCCCCAAGATTCTCCCAATGTGTCAAACAGCTAAGTACATAAAACATGTAAGAAACAAAAAACAAAAACCAAAAAAAAAAATCGTTATCGCTTATGTATTGGATAATAGCTGCTATTTGGAAAAAGAGAGGGAGAGAGAAAAGATTATATAATCGGTATTATCCTTGAATGAAAATCGAACGAGGGCAAGTAATTCTACGTAGCGAACTTTTTTTTTAAACAAACGTATGAATACTAACACGTGCTTTATTATATAACTAATTAAATTAAATTATTGTTCTGCTTTTAGCATAAAAGTTAACTGAAAATCGAGATTCCAGTTGTGATAAGCTCATGCGATTTTATTTCAAGTAGGTAGTAAATTTTCGATTAAATTTCTTGTATCTTTAAGCGTTAGAGGATTTAAAAATTTTATTAGACATGTCTTTTGGTGTGTCAATGTACATTGACTGCTTCCCATCTTCAAAATTAATCTTAATATTCATATTATGGAAATAATATGAAATTTATCTTTAAATAATGTAATATCTTTTGCCAGGAGAAATGCAATTAAAATTCAAGATATTAAGTCTTATTTATATGGGTCTTCCAATAATTAATCACATTTTTAAGAACGTAAAAATAAATCTTTTAAAAGAAATTCGTCTTCGTATATATATTTCACTTCTTTATTGTCCATCAAGTTTATTTTATATTTTTCCTTCCGTACGAATATTTAATGTATAATTTATATGAACATACTCGTGAAAGCATACTAATGCTGCATTAAGAAAAGGTCAATCAACAATATTTTTCTTAATGTGGCATTAAGTTGATTGAACTATAATGTTTTATATAGTAAATTTCATGCTTAACATAAATATACCTTTAATTTGTATTTTATTCAACGCACCTTTTATTAGTTGAGCGGAACTTAGCCTTAATAATATAATTTGCTTATCGTTTTAATTACTCAATTACGGTATTACTATATTAGCGGCGTAATAAAAAATGCATTATAATAAAAATAATAATAAAAATGTATTTCATAAAGAGGCCAAATCGATCGATGGTTTATGTTTATAGATAAAACATTTGCCACTCAAGTGCATTATCAATTAACAAAAAAATTACAAAAAACCGTAGATACTTTATAAAGTTTTGTCGCTATCATTAAAATCATTAAATATGTATATTAGAGAAAGTGAAACGACTAATTCGTTTATTTATCCAGGCTATTACATAATTATATGTAATTGAAGTAATGATGAATAGAATAAAGTTATTATAAAAGTGGTTGGGGTTTGGCTTGTTTTTGTTTTTTTTTTTTATTTACATTATTAAATTTATCATGCTCAATTTAACAATAAAGCTATCAAGATTGCACGTATACTTAGCCATAATCATTTTCATAGTAATAATTTATAATAAAACGTTTATTCGTATGGTGTATGCGAAAATGCCAAATTTTTGACATATTAGTGAGGTTAGTGAATAATTCGTTTAACACGAGTATCGAATGCCATACGATACTAATCCAATTTCTCATTATTAAATTTTCATCGCTAAATAATCTATCGTCAAATTATAATAAATTATTAAAGATAATTTTGACAATATTAAAATGACATTCATTACGTTCAAGACATTGTAAGATGTCGAATAAATATAACGCCCAAAGTAATAAAATATTTGATACTATTAAAGGGAACAATTAATTTTTTTAATCCAATACCGACACAGTAACTACTGTATTCTATTTTAACATTACTCAGAGCAATAAACCAAATTTATAATATAAATGTAATACAATAAAGATGTAATGCACCGTTAAATGTGTTACTTTAATAAACATAGTGGCATATAAAAAATTGCTAAAATTATATTGCTCGCGTACTATAAATATGAT